AAGGAGATGTAACCTGAAGAAGATAAATACCTGTGTGTGTGTGTGTGTGTGTGTGTGTGTGTGTGTGTGTTGCTTTATTTTATTTAGCTGTATATTATCTTGTAATATCTTTAATCACTGTAGATTCTTTTATATTTTAAGGAATGGAGCCATTGATGCTCTTTGAACAAGGGATGTGGACTGCCCATATTTGATAGCCAAGCCTTGGCACAGACCAAAAAAAAGGGGGGGTCCAGGACCAAACCAATGGTCTGGGAATTGGCTAACCTGGGAGGCTGTTTTTGAGAAAAACGAATAGAATGGAAAGTGCACAATAAGATAGCTTTCTAGAGGAAAAGCTACTGTTGAATGATCTTACTATGATTATGTTAGTAAAAATCAAAGGGTAATAAAGCACACGCCTACCTGAACAGGACCTTGTTTTTGGTCTCGTTTTGGAACCATAACTAGAAGAGGACCCACCTATCAGGCTACTTGGTGGGAAGAGCCCCGGCCCATAATCGGACACATAAGATGGGTAAGTGGCGATGGGGTGGTGCGTAGAGGACACGCCCGGTCCAATAGAGGCCATGCTCCGACTATGAGCCGAATCCAGCTTCATGCTTTCGGCCAGAGAGACCTGGTATTTAATGCACTCTTTGTCCTCCTGCCGTATGGATGAGCCCGAGCCTGACGTGGAAATTGCGGGGTCAGGGGACACATCTTTGGGTGGAGTGGGGGGAAAGGTGAAGAGGTGTGGGCTGGAGTGACCAGCGGACAGCGAAGAGGAGGAGGCTGGGGGGTAGACAGACAGAGGCCCGGGGGAACTGTGATGCAGGGAAGTCTTGGGGAAAGGCCCGAGGTTCCAGGGGGAGGTACTGTGGTGAGGGCCGATAGGTTTACTTCCATCGAGCCAAGGAAGAGAGCCGTGCAGCAATGATGGGCGACACACCTGAGTACCTGCTGAATCAAAAGACAAGCCTGTTGTTAGGACAGGACTAGGTGGGGCTGTGGGATTCCTCACATTAAGAAGCCAAGAAATAACATCTGAACGATTAAAAAGCAGGCTTTGTATTATAAACACAAATGTTACATGTCACAATTATGTGTGTGTAATAAACTATATAATTAAAGAAAGATGCATAATGACATGTATACATACAAATTTAAAACTGCATGCAAAAAAATCATTCAGGATATTTTTTACAACACAGCGCTGCAAAAACCAAGTACATTTTGATTGTTATGTTTTTACATGCATTTCACACATATCTGGTATTTTTATAAGCTGAAACCCTTTCAGCAACGGTCTTTTATTGCATGAAAGAACTAGTGCAACTTGACTAAATGAGTAAAACTGTGAAACTGCACGTAAAGGCCTACATTATTGGGAGGCTTTCGATGGCGCTGGGAAGGGTCGCAATTAACAGCCCTCACCGGTTTCTCACTTTCAAAAGACTTTCGATACCAGCCAGTATCTACTGATGCTGCACGGATTTTGAAAGTTTTGATATGTTTAGAGATGGGGCAATTCAAAAGAGAAACAAGGTCACGCTTTGCCCCATTCCGCTCAGGAAGTCATGTCAATAAATTAAAGCAATTGTTCTTCCGCACTAAAATTCAAGTACTTAGTACAGGAAAAATGCGCTTAATTATTTAGAGATTGACTTTTAAATCATTCAATCATAAAGTAATTCAATTGAATCCCAGCCAGCTAGTGCTACTAGAAATATTTTTACTTTAATATATTACAGCATCGTTCTACCAATATAATAGGCCTATATTTCAATTAGCAATGTGTGTTTTCGAATAACACTGATTGTTCACATTTGATTTTTGATCATTAAAATTAAATTAAACAGTTTTCTAAAAATTAAAGGAATGAATTGCATTGTCCAATATTATACAATTACTGTATACCCTAAAAAGTCAAATAACCATTGAATACTAGAAAGATGTGAAACCAGTGACACACCACCTAAGGTAAGCCACACGTAAACTACACTGACATTGTTCAAAAGAGCCAGTTGCATTTTCAGTACAATCCTAAGAGCAGTTTCTGTCGTATTACATATTATAAATTTAGTCAGAATTGACATAAGAGGAATAATGTAAAATAACTTAGGACTCATAGGCTACTTACCGTGAGGTGGCGGGTACCTTTGCACAGCCCGAACCGAGTTCCCGTAGTACGGGTGGTTGCTCTGTCCGTCGATATTAAACAATACATCCACATCTTCCGCGAGGGGATACTGCGACGGGTCCATGTAGGAGTGTCCCAGTCCTGGGTGGTGTGTCTCGGGATGCTGGCCGTTAATGACCGAGTGATGATGGGTCATCCAACGTTGCTCCGGACTTACTTCCATCGTTTTTAGTTGTTATTTCTTTAACAAGCGTTCATACACTCAGCGAAACACACAACAAGAAAGTTCAAAAAAGTCCAAACTCCTCCTTTGTTTAATCCACAGATTTTTTTTTACTTCCGATCACCTGAAATTGAACAAGACAATTTGTTTTACAAAGTCCGTCCGTTCGTTGCAAGTGCATTTATACTAATGTTGGTCATAAGTCCGAGTACACATCCAAACACGCGTCAAGTTCCGCAAGTTTTTCTCTCAGTATGCTGTTGCGTTGCGTAGACTCAACAAGTGAGTTTGACGGTTCAGGCCGACCCGGTTCGATCTGGATAAGTTTTCTGCCTTCTGACTGAACACAAGTTTGATCAAATCTGTGTGTATGCACAGTAGTAGTAACCCTCTTCCCTTACTCTATTTCCATCCCTCCCTCTATCTCTCTCTCTCTCTCTCTCGCTCTCTCTAGTGCTCACTCCCTCTGTCTCTGAATGCACTGCTCTCTCTGTGTTTTTTTACAGTGAAGGCATTCTTTCAGGATGGCGCCAGTCAGCTCAATGCTCGCAGACAGCTGTGGCGCGACGCAACTTAAGGAGGGTCTGTGGTGTCATCAGCTGGGGCGGGGCCCAACAGCCTGGACTAATTGAATAAAGTGGGCCAGGGAAAGATGACCAGAAGCTGCGCCCAATTCTGCTCTCCATTCATATACAAACTGTAGCATTTTATTTATTTTTTTGAGTGGAACGTCTGAACGTGTAAATATTCAACACACGTTATATATAAAAACACAAGCACGCCAAATGCATTTTACGCAGCTGAAATAAATATAGGCTGCACTTTATTTAAGCTGTCCTTGTTACAGTGTAATTATACATTTAAGCACTGAGAAATATTAATTAACAACACGTACTTACTGTAGGGTTAGAGTTTGTTTTAGGACTAGTTGCATATAATTGCAGAATTCACTGTTAGTACCAAAGTATGTAACAGACACTGTAAAATAAAGTGTAAGCTAAATTAATCCAGGCCTAGTTTAGGAAGGGGGGCTTTGTTCATAAACAAAGTAGCAATTTGGATGAAAAGCAACGAATTTAAATTAGGACAATGGCAGCGTCTGAAATAGAAACTGAAATGTGTTTTCCTTAAAATCAAAAAGATTTCTTAAACAGATTTTTGGAATGAATAAATGTGCGGAAGAATTATTGCAAGTATTTATTAAGGTTGCTTAGTAAAATAAATATACAAAAAAATACAAATACAAATACTGAAATATCAGTATGTCCTAAGGGCACCGTCTTTCTGTGGCCTGCTGCCTTTTGTGTCTATACGACTGTGTGTGTTATCAGTGGCAGCTCGTGTGGTGTGTGTTCTCTTTTAAATTGTGACAGTGCGTCCTCTCGCGGTGACAAGCACGTTTTTCTAATGCTTACCTCTGCATGTTCAAAAGAGGCTCTTAAACCCTGACTGCGACATATAGGCTAATGGTGCGGTAAGACTAAGGCCATACCTTACTTTCCGCTCGCTATTTAAACACAGGCTTTTCCCCCGGCAACTTAAGTCGGTGTTCTTTATTCCTTGAAGGACACCAACCGAACGACTGCATCATTATTCATTTAAGGGGCCATTACATGTAACGTGATGCAAATACATTAGCATTTCAGTACGCACGGGTAAAACTTTAACCTTAAATATATAATGGGAACATATTACTTCTGACAGTGTGCTCCGACGACACATTATGGGACAGTGTCAAGTATTATTCGCTATTAGGCCTACTTGGTTTAGCTGTAGCTAATAAGGGGGCTTGGCACTTAGGGTGATATGTTGTCTGTAATGCTCCGGTTTGGCCGGCCCGGCCCCACAGATTGACAAAATGTAATTGGGCTGCTCGTTCTATGCTCTGAAATGATGGCCAGCCCAGTCTCCGCTGGACGTGACGTCAGTAAACAGGCAGGAAATCTACTCTTCGCGTTGGATGTAAAATGTGTGCTCTGAAAGCTTGCGTTTTTCTCGCGATAGTTATTTCTCTAGGGGTCTAGCGAACGATGGGTAAACACTAGTGTTACTCCAATAATGTGATTTCAAATGAAAAATAAAACAAGTAAGAAATAATGATTATTATAATAAATGATAAAATGATGTCGATCATTTTCATTCCATCGTTGCGACTAGCTTTCATGTTCCTTTCAAAAAAAAAATGGAATTGGTTGAAAATGCTGATTCAGGAAATGTGCATCTTCTCTCCCCCTCTTCTTTCTCTAGTAAAGACCGAACTTGGATGGAAAGTGTTGAATATATATATATAGGCTATATATATATGTGTGTGTGTTAAATCGGTATGTTAAATCAGGCCCGTTCTTTTTAGCTCGGGCCACCAGGTTGATTCATAGACACTCGGTGGTAAATCGGTGGTAGACAGCGATACTGGGTCAGGTTGAAGATTGGGTAGATAATTTGTGAATGATTATGTCAGGCTAGGCAGATTAAAATCAGAAGGCATCACACTTTTCACTGTGGGTGAGAACTTAAGACCCGGTTGCACTGGCTCACTGTCATTGTCGAGCTGTCAGCGGACGCGTGTAATGATCCGCGCGAGCGTACATTAAGAGGCACTCGAAGGTAAAAGTGAAATCCTGATTATGTGTTTTGTTTCTTGACTGAATGTCTTAAGCTTAGTGCGCGGGACATGGATGGAAACAGTGCCGAACACTACACACACGATGTGTCAGAGTTTGGAAGTATTTGCGTGTCTTCCCCTCTCAAAAACATGATAGCATTTTTCATACTTCATCCTATTCTACAGCTATAACGTGTTATACAAGGAAAAGAGAAAGAACACGCTTTGTTTATCGAGCACCATTTATCGACACATAAAACCTCTGTAATAATTTTGGTGAAGTGTTTTGAACGGGCGTGTAGATGATAAAATCCGATAGCAGGTCATGACGGTAGAAGGCATCACAAACAATATGGTGCACAGAAGTGATAATAATAAGCAAACAAACATTACATTTGCTATTGCAACTACTGTTATAATTATTAGTGCTAGTAGGCCTACTAGTAGTAGCACTGTTATTATCATTTTTGTGATATAGGCCTACAATATAATTACACAATACACTCAATCAAAACAATTGTGTTAATTTTCATCCGCTTTCATTTTTGTTTGATCGTGCGGAGGCTTGTGCGATTGTTATCTGTGACTGATTTTGTAATTTATGTAGGCCTATATGGACCCTCCATACATAGACACGTTATACATGCGTAGGTTGTATGGGGATGGATCAAATTTGAACGCAAGCCTCCATGGCGTCTGTGGCGACCAGCTGAAGATGTGAGAAGATTTGAAAGGGTCGGCCTAGAGTGCCCAGGTATGGCTGTCCAAACAGAGCGGGGTGAACCAGAGGACACACACTTCACCCCAGCTACCGAATGATGAAGACAGTGGAGGGGGGTTCAGTCCATAGCGAAACATGAGCGCTTCATTTGTGATATTCACGCTTTTAAAGGCTCGTTCGTCACGTTTATTTTTAAGCAACAAAACGTGTCTCTTCTCAGTTCCCAGCAGTGGAAAATCACAAAGGAGCTAAACTGTAAAACGCATAATGTTATAATAAATTATGTCCAGAATATTTGGACGAGAAATTATTTGTGTGTGTGTGTTATAAAAAACAAATTTAAATAGACAATTATTATTCTAATTGTATCATATAATAATAACCACAATTGTATAACATAATAATAATAATAATAACAGCAATAATACAATAATAATAATAATAATAATAGAAAAAGAAAAAGAAGAATAACGGTAACTCGGAACGTTAAAGTAGACTTGGGCGGATTGTGATTCATGCACTTAGTCTTTTCAAGAACGAACTTTCTGTCTGAATTTGTATACTGTGTGATGGTGGCCTATGTAGGTTATGCTGCAAATTCTTAGAACCCAGTCGAGGACGTGAAATTCTGATAGTTGCGTCATAATGAGAGTTTGACTTATTTCTAAGAATATCTGACTAAAAAAAGGTGAGGGAAAAAACACGAGAGCCTCGAGTGCAGGTTTTGTTTTTGATAATTCCTCGCTCGAGAGAGAAACATCTAAAGATGGTTTTCAATTGGCGCTGATGACAGCAAACTCCACAAATCTGCAACAAGCCAAACAGTTAATTTCCCAAATAATCGTTATTGTCCATTTGTTATTCGTTTTCATTGATCCATCCCCGATATATTAGCCTTCAAAATATGAATCTATCTGTTCGTATAGCATCATCACCCTGTGTTCGGCTGCTTTAGGCCTAATGTATTTATTTGATATCCATTGGTGCTCTTTGGGATGTCGCATGTAACAACTTCATAACTCAAAGTGGGTAAACAAAGAGGCACATCGCAGGGATATTCTCGTTCAAACAAAAGTGCATCTCTTCCTTTCGGTCGAGTGCTGATTTGAGGACATGGTTTCAGATCATTTCACTGTGCAGCTGAATGGAGTGGCCGGTCTCGTGCTATCAGGGAGAAACAGCTGTTTTACGCGCATTCAGCTCCAATCAATGGAAGCTGCTGCTCTCTACATGCAAACAGAAACCAAACGAGCTCGCGCCCATGAAAGACGGCCTATGATGTGCCTTAATGTCGCGTCCTCTTCCAATGTTCTTCAAACCAGCAACACAAATGCATCCTCTCTCGCGCTTTCTGCCTCTCTTTCTCTCTCTCTCTACACACACACTGGAAGCACAGTTTCAGCAAATCCACTTCTTTTTATGACCCATTGCGGGGCTAATCAGATCAATTTCACGGGTTAAGGGAAGCATACTCGCTCACACTCAGGTGGTAATAGATCATTAAAATCCTTCATCTAGAGGACGGTAGGCGGGAAAATGACTCTTAAAATACAGGGGCGTCCATAAAATCCCACCCCGATTGTCGGAAACTGGACGTGGGTGCTGGTGAAACGCATAGCCTATATATGTGTCGGGTGAAATGAATAAGCTCATGAGAGTTGACATCTACACGTCTGGAATTGTTAAATGACTGTACCACCCTCAGACAGAACAACACGTAAAAAAATATATATTTTTTTAAAAACTGACACTCGCAAACCCAACATATCTGACGCAGAAATGATTGTTATCATGGCCAGGTGTATTGCTCCAAACAGAAAATGGGGGGACAAAGCATCCGAAGAACTGGCATTTAAACGCATGCATAACGCTTAGGAACAAGCAAGCTAAATCAATTTATTCGACAATTTTGGGAGCTAGGCTAATTGTGGAGCTAGAAATTAGTTTAGAAAATATGGAAAATATAAATCCGAATATTTACTGACCTGCGGAATTGTGGTTGACGCGTGGTCAGGCGTTTTTTTTCTGATGGGCTTCAGATGTTAAGTGACACACAGATGGAAGTGCCGATGGCATTTACAGCAGGAGAGAACAAAAAAACTAGGCTCTTTTTTTTTCTTCTAGCCTACACACACACACACACACACACAATCCGTCTTTCTAGTTCGCGCGCGCACGCACACACACACACACACACACTTACCGTACTT